TCTCAGACGGACCCTTTCATTTCCAGGGCCTCTCGCCTCTGTTTTCCAAGCTGCGCCCGGTTCTGCCTGTTTTCTCCCTGGGGTCTTCACCTCCTGCCAGTTGTGCGAACGCCTTACAGTAACATTATTTTTTGTTGCTCACAACCAACAGCCCTGGCTGACATGAGGGGGGATGTACAATTCATTTGGGAAGGCAAAATGTATAACTGAGGGCTAAGCAGTGGCATAACAATGTCACTTCCCTCCCTACGTTTCCATGCGTCCCTTGGAGGGGGGGGCTGATGCCACCTCCAGTGAGAACCATAGGGTGGGTCCTCAGTGAAGAGGACAATAGTCAAGAAGCTTTTCACTGAGAGTCCATCTGCATTCATAGTTGACATGTTTCCAAACTTACACTCTACTACAGGCACCGCTGGGCGGGGGGATAGCAACAATTTCCATAGGTGTGAATTTATACTTAACACTCTTCCTCCTAGTGGAAGCGCCGCCCATGGGTCCTTGTGCATAAACTGGCACGCTCTGCTTTCAGGCTTGGTGACACATTCAGCATGCTCAACAGAGGAGCCACAGACGGCTGCACGCAGACTGTGAGGCCCTGCCTGCCAGCCCTGGCGTCCCGCAGCAGAGCAGCGGGTAGCAGGAAATGGTAGGGACATGAGCGCTGGAAGGGACACTTAAAATATCACTCCCCACTCTGGCCTGCCTTGCTGAGGAAATTCAGATCCTGCAGGATCCTTTACCACAGTGAAGCTTCATTGTAGAAATGTCCCCACAGGAGACAGACCGTAGCAGGGGAACCCACTTCTGGGGGACAGTGCCTCTGGCCCTGTAACTACTGCTGAGCCTTCTGCCACCTCCGCACATTCAGCTTCTCCTTCTGTGGGCTGCCCTCCTCCTGAAACAGTTCACAGGGCGCACTCCTAAAAGCCAGCACCTCTGTTGAGCATGTTGCACATGCCACCAAGCCTAAAACCCTCACTAGACAGAGTCACTCCCTGAGGTCAGGAGTGGCTTCAGGACAGCCAGCACCTTCCCCATCCGCAGCCACTGCGTGGGAGGGGCAGGGGGCAGGGGGCTGCAGAGAAGGGGGCTGAAGCACCTACTCTGGCTTCCAGCCTCAGTCAGGCCTGGCGCACCCCCCACCTCCCAGCAGAGCTGCCTGTTCCCATTTTCTACCTGAGACCAAAGCAGGGCCCGCAGGCTGCAACTGAGAGGGGGTCGGAGGCTGATGGGGCTGCCACCAGAGGGGGACCCCAGGTCCCCAGGCTGTAGACCTGCATTCTGAGCCTGGGCCACCTGTAGCGGAAGCTGTCAGACTTTGGGGCAGTCACTCTGCCTCACCTGCATGGATCTCTGCCCCTCTGTTTTCCCTAAGATTTCTTTATTTACTTACTTATTTACTTAATTACAGTATTTGTTTATTTTTAGAGGGGAAAAGAGGGAGAAAGAGAAGAAGAGGAACATCAATGTGAAAGAGAAACATGAATCGGTTGCCTCTTGTATCAGCCATGGCTGGGACGGAACTGGCAACCCAGGCACGTACTGTGACTGGGAATCAAACCAGCAACCTTTCACTTTGTGGGACGATGCCCAACCCACTGAGCCGCACCAGTCAGGGCTCTGCCTCTCTTTCAAAAATGGGGTTGATGCAGTGTCTGCCCTGCAGAGTCACAGTGAGGATGAAATGTGAGAGTGAGGGGAAGGGCTTGGGGGACTGTAATGTTTATAAACTGAAAGAGACTCAGGGCTCAGGCCACACCGCCAGAACCTTTTTCTTTCCTTATCTAAAGCAGATAATCCCTTTCTCTCCGCAGGTGGATGTGAGGTCAGTAGGTCTGGGACTGGACACGGAGCTGTGACTAGGCAGGCTTTTTGGTCTGGGCATCCTCGTGAACCCTGATGCTCATCTAAAAGAGGGAGCTCGGGGCCAGGACTCCAGACTGATCTCCGGCAGCGCCTGAGGGAGCCTGGGAAACCCTGTGTGTGCTCTGCAGACTTGCAGGAGAACTAATGGCAAGGGCTGAGAAACGGGGGGACAGAGGCCTGCGTCCCCACAGAGCTGCCCATAGGAGCCAGGGAGCTTTCAGGAGCTGCCAGAAATTGTGTTTTCTCTCCTCATCAGAGGTTGCCATGGTGACCGAAGCAGGAGGAGACACCCGCTGGTCTGGCTCTACATAGATCATCCATCCTGGCTCATCTTTATTCCAGGTCTTGGTCAGAGCTGGTACTGGGAGCATCTGAGATGGGGAAATGGCATCCTCCAGAGACCAGACCCTTGGCTCCTATTACATGTGCATGATGGGAGGAAACTGCGTCGGGACTGTGCGTGCATGTGTATAGGAGAGGTGGGCAGGGGTGGTTACACTGTTGCATGTGTGTTCCGATGTACAGGGGGGATGCTGGTAAGGGAAGTGGGGTGGTATCAAGGGCGCATGTGACAGCGGGGTCTTTCTCAGATGCACCCTTGAACTACACCTTAGAGGAGAGCATGCTGCAGGGGCTGTGAGCTTCCCACACAGGAGAACCCTCCACAGTCCACTTTCTGGAGGCTATGCGTTTGCTTCCTAGATTGTTCTGCCTGTCTTCCCAGCAGCAAACCAGAATCCAGCCATTTCTTCTAAGAGTCTGAGGCTATGTTCCCTGACCTTAGCCTTGGCTCTATCACCTGACTTCTCCCTGATGTCACGCCCACTTCACTCATGTTCGCTCAGACAGAGGGATAGAGGCCTGATGTCACCACCTTTTACACAGAGGCCAGATGTTGACTTGTTTGCTTGTTTATGGCGTCTCACTCACCAGCATGTAAGCTTCCTGAGAGCAGTGACCTTCTCCTATTTACTGCAATGACCCTAGCACTCAGAACAGTGCCTGGCACATAGTAGGTGCTCAGTAAACTTGTCGACTGAATGAGTGAGTGATTGAATGGATCAGTGGATGAATGAATGATGGGGAACTTTCTGGGCAGTCTCTTTCATCCCTTTGTTTGTCATTAGCCCGTCTGGGAACTCCCTGCTCCTCACAGATTCTAAAGGTCTGCTTTAGGGCTCAACTGAGGGCTTGTCTCCTCCCCTCAGCCCTCAAGGACACCCCCCCCTTCTAGGCCATTCTTTGACTGAATTCTGGCACTGGTTTCTGCTATGCTCACAGCACACTGGCCTGTATGACCTTGAACTCTGAGAGCGTCCTGTCTCCTTAACAAGACATCAAGCTCCTCAATGGGAATAGCATTACTTTCTCTTTGGTGTCCTGAGCACAGGGCTCTGCAAACAGCAGATGTCCAACAAATGCTGAAGGCTGCAATGCCGTGAATCAGGGAGCAAATTCTGGCCTGAGTATTTCACACCTCCAGTAGTTTCCTGCCCAGCACACCTCCTGCAGGTTCATGGGTAAGACTTTCAAGGTCAAGATGTTGTTAGTGAGTCTGAATTAGAGGATGGGGGTTGTTTGGGAAGCCGGTCTCAACTCTGTTCTATGCTTTCCCCACAACCTCACGGTTGAATTTGGCTAAGCCTTCCAGCCTGGTGCACCACCTCTTTTTATAGTCCTTGTTCTTTCTGAGTGGAACTGATCACTTCCTTCCCTCACAAAATTTTTTAGCACTTGTCTATACCAGTCTTAGGTACTGACCACTCGTCTTCTTGAATGGTATGACATGGTAACGTTTCCGATGTGCCTGTCAGGTGGTCAGCCGTGTCTTTGCTCAGCACCCCTCCTGTGAGACCCCAGAGGGCACCACCTGTCTCCAGTTCTTTCCCACACAACTCACAGCTGCTTGCTCGACATAACCAGTTCAACTTTAATGTATGTTTTCTGTATAAGTGAATAAAATAAATACATAAATGGTCGTTGCGTCTCTGTCTGAACAGAGTGACCAATAAAACTTCTCAGCATCAAGAGGAGGAGGGGGAGAGAATCCTTACCCAGTGCTACTATGTGCCAGGCCCTGTGCAAATGTCCAGCTGAACCCTCGACCCCGATGTAGGACTAGTCTTATCCCTTCTTTGCAGGCCACAGGCAGGCAAGCGAAGGAGCCACCATTTCAGCCCAACTCCACTGTTGTGACCGTGCCTGCAAGTGGCTTCACACGTAATGAAGTAACAGGAACACAGACCTTATAGACATTCAGTATTTTAAAGCCCAGGGTCTCTAGGAATCCCAGGAGCAGATGATAACATTTAAATATTCTGATGGCACCGATTTGTTTTCCGTGAAAGTCACCTGGGAAGGCGTGGAGGCTCAAGCACCTAGAGGGAAGTGCCTCCCTGCTGGCGGAGCTGCCGGAGCTGCCCAGCCTGAGGGTCCGCCCTCTCCCAGGCTGCAGCCCTCCTGGGAGGGCAGGGCCTGGCTGCGAGGAGACCAACCTAAGGGACGTTCTGCCACTCCCGGATGTGAAACCCTTCTGGGGACGTGAGCAAAGTGCCTTCTACAAGGCAGAACTCATTTGATTTGTCCACTTTGCTTCTGTTGGTGCAGGGGGAGGGGTGGGGAGAGGGGGGCAAGCTGACTCCCAGCCAGGCTGAGGGGTGGCTGTGGTGCCTAGACCTGAGGCTGCCAGGATGAGGGGGGCAGGGGATGAGCAGGTGGGTGTGAGGCCCAGGCCAGGACCAGAAGGGGTCAGGGAGGCCTGGAGGCCTGTGCTCCTCGCTGCTCCCCTTGACTCTCCTGCTCCCGGCAGCCCCAGGTGCCCTTTCACCCAGGGTCCTGGCACCACTGCTGGGAGAGGAGAGTGAGACACCCACTGTGGACACGGAGCCTAGGGCAGGAGAGAAAAGGGCCCTGGCCTGGGAGTCAGGGGCCCTGACCCACTCCGAGTGACTATCGCGACTCACTTCCCCTCTCAGTCTCCTGCTTCTCTCCCTCAGAAATGCAACTTGATGCAATGGCCTTTACATTTCCTTGTACCCCAACATGCACAGAGTCTAAACCACAGCAGCCTACGGGGCTGTCACCAGGTCACGAGGCCACAGCCGCAGGGAGCAGAGGCAGAAGAGCCGACTTACCCGGGTGCACCTCTCAGCGCAGGGCAGTCTGCAATGTCCTGTGCTACACCTCAGTGTGTTACCCAAAGCTTCTGCTTCCACACCTGGAATAACAAGGGCCCTCACAGACATTTTGAAATCACACTGCAGTTTACAAATTTTTTTCCCCCCACACACGATGGCCTGGGCCAGAGAGACCTTCCTGAGACTTACACCATGGAACAACCGCAAACCAGAGAAGTCGCCAGACTTGCCCCGGTCACACGGTACTGTCAGTGGGTGGGCTGGCTGGGATTGGTCTTGATTCCAGGCTGAGCTTCTGTTTTCTAAAATACAGGGAAACCTTGCTTTGTCTTGCTGAGATATCGTGAGGCAAGAATCTATAAAAATACTTGTTAAGACCTTTGCAAATTCAGAGTGATCGGTCTGTGCTGAATAATTGATGGGCTCACTCCTGGATGCTTTGAGCAGACTCACAGGCCTCTGTCATAGGCTGGGACTGTGGAGACCTTTCCTATCATTTTGCCCAGTGAAGGAATTTGCCGAGAAAATCACCAAGAAAGAGTTGCGCTTCCCTATTGGGAGGGGCAGACCCTGGTTCCTGGGAGCCATAGATCTAATTTATTGCCTCACTGAAAGGAGAGGAGAAAGTGCAGGGCTGCTACAGGGAGGGGCTTCTGGGCCGCCACCGTGTCCCTTCCAAGGCTGCAAGGCCCTGGGAAAGGGCTGCTCCTCTCTGACAGGCAGGGAGAAAGGTGCCTGGGAATCTGAGAGTCTGGAGGGGAGGCGCAGGATTAGCCATGGGAAAGACAGAATCTGAAGCAGAGATTTTCCTCCATGAAAACGCCTGACAAGGCAGAGACGCCCAGGGAGGGCTGAGGTCACCTGTGGCCACCCCAGCCAACGGCTGCATGTGACCACAGAAATTTTCTGGCCAAGGCCATGGCAGCAGGGATTAGGTGCCAGAGAGTAGAGACAGAGTGGCCTTTAAGGCAATTTGTAGAGATCAAAGTAGAACAGTCTGACCAGTGTCTGGCTATGAGAAGCTATGAGAACAGGGAACATATCACAGCTGACTGAAACTCAGGGTACCACTCACAGCCGAAGACGTGCATCCTCCCCCTGCGAGGTGCGGCCCCACAAAGTGGCCCCGAACTGGCATTGGTTCAGCCCTCCGAACGAGGTGGACTCAGGACTATCCAAATCCATGAGGTCATCGGCTCTAACTTCAAATGAGCAGAATCAACAAACTCCAGCTCAAGTGGGATTTGTTCTGATGACTGGATTTCCATCTTCCTCTGCATTGCAAGTTCCAAAACCCGAACGGTGTCACAGGGATTTCCTAGGGAGTTTCATGGTGTGCTCCATATTGATGTGAGTCCCTTCGCTTTCATACTTCGTCTGGACCCACTGACCTCCCAGGGGGTGGAAGGGCTTTTAGAGTTTCCCTTTGTGTGGTCAGGGGCCTTCCTAATGACTCTGGGGTGGGGAGGTAAGGGTGGTTCCAGAGTGGCCTCAGCCTGGCTAGCAACATGTGGTGCTGCCTGCAACGGACCCAAGGTGCAGAATGCGCCCTACCCTGGGGCTTGGAGGAGACATTTGGCTCAGGCACTACACAGGCAGAACAGAAAACAGGATGTGTGACCTCAGTCCACACTCGTGTCAACTTGAGCTGAACTTAACTGGGCTTCTGAGCTACCTGCACTCACACCTAACAGAGGGAAGGAATTGGGAGCAGGAGAAAGAAATGGGGCAGGCTAGGGATGGGGCGGTACTGGGCAGGGTGATAGCCAGCTAATTCTATGAACTCAGCTCATCGATTTAACCTGTAGCCCTCAGGTTCCTCATCCACAAAATGGGGATCATGATGGAACCTACCTCAAAGTCTTGGAAGGATCCAATGAGATAGACTTGGAGGGAGTGTATGCAGATTCTTAGTTTGGCCTCTAGTAAAACTCACCCTCTTGCCATGACAGCACTTGGCTGGACTTCTCCTGGGCCTATCAAAAGGGGGGACGGCCGCCGATCCATTCCAGTTTGCTCGAGCTGTGTGCTCCAGAATGTGCGAAACATCATTTTTTTATCAGCCCAGCAATCTGGGCCTCACAAATTGTCTTTCTCATCTGGCACCTTGGCCAGACTCCATGCTCCTTGAAGGCAGGGCTGTTGTCTTGTGTTTCCTTGGGAGGACATCTGTTACTGATCATGGTCTGAGACATTCTCTGTGGTATTGTTTGGCTAGTTGCAACGAGTGGCATTTCAGAAGTGTGCGTTCAAATCGGGCCTCACCACACCTGGCTGGCAGCCTCAGGCAGAATCCTCACTCCGGAGGAGCAATGGCAAGCACTTCGGCTGTCTTTCTGTCTGCTCAACACTAGGCATTTGGTAGTTAGCAGAGTAAACATTACAAACACATTCTCCTTGGTGAAAGCAGAGGTATTCAGGATATGAGTGTTGGCCAAATGAATTTCGAGATGCACTTGACTCTTATGAGAGCCGGTGAAAGAATGCAGTGAGACCTCAAGAGAGGTGCGGTCAGGGCAGCTAGAGACACAGATGGCTGCAACCGGCCCAGAGAACAAGCTGTGTGATGGTTGCCGGGCCCATTTACAAATAAATAGTTGCTCGAAAATTATCTACACGTGTGGCAGAATGTGGTCGGAGGCCTGCTTTTATTCAACCTGATAATGAGGTCTGCCTTCACTCCCTCAAAGTTTTCAGTGGCTGCTGTCAAATAAATAGGCCAAACAGCAAACAACAAAACCTGAGATTTATGACCAGTTGGACTTAGGTTAGTTTGCAGTACGGTGATGCCTCCAGGGTGTAGCCCATGGAAATGCTCTTTGGAGAGGGGGGTAGTATCATGTTTAACTTGGTGGTGGTCAGGGGCACCAGGGCCCTCAGTGGTCTCCAGTCCAGGATCCCGATCCCGAGCCCTCCTGGGGACTCATCCCCCGAGCCTTCCCCAGCTGGCCCTCTGGGGCTGAAGTGCCAGGTCACACTCACAGGCCCTGCTGGTTTTCTGGAATGAGGAAATGCTGCTCAGTCTTCAAGAAACCCTGAAACTGTGGCTACGATGGAGATCACTGTCTGGGCCCATTGCGTACCTAGAAAATCAGCTCTGCCCTCTGAGGTCCTACAGGGCAAGCCCTAAGAGGAAGTCTTTGGGGACCTATTACCAGCTCCCACATTTGGGTCAGAATATTGGAGGAGAATTTCTGGCCTTATTGGAAATGTTGCCTTGGAAAAAGGGGGGCTCAGTCTGCACCCTGGGGGAAGCTGAACTTCCATGCCTTCCTTGGGTTCTGTGAAGGCTGCTGGGCAGGGACCCAGGTATGAGGAGGCCCCTGAAACTGGAGAGCTCACTACCCCTTACCTCTGGAGACAAAAGAGCCCTTCCTTGATGGGTGGTGCCCACTGGGAGATGGGCTGCTGCTCACAGCACACCCTTCTCTACGGAGTTTCTCACGGGTGAGCACTGTTGCAGGGTGGGGTGGGGAGGTCAGGTGGCATTCCAAAGGAAAGAAGTTGGGCACAGGGCAGTGCAAGCCTCTAAGTTCTCCTCTTGCCCACCTTATTTCTCCCTTTTTTCCCTCCCTCTCCAGAGAGAAGTTATGTGCACACAGGGACAGGATGAAGGTCAGAGAGGGAAGTGCTGGGCTTTTCCAGGGCCACTGTCCTAACCATGGAGAAGCTGGTATCTGTAACCTTCCCAACTCTTACTGGCAACTTGACCCTCAGTGGCAGCTCAAACTCTGCAGGCGGATTGCAAAGTTAGCCAGGCCTACATGCCACCCCTTCTAAACCCCTTTTCTGCCCCCAGTCTCACCCTGCTCCCAGGCCCACTGCTCTCAGGTAGCACATCCTCACCCCTTCAAGGGCTGCTTCAGAATTTGCCTCGCCTTCCTTACCCCTCTCCCCTATCCAAACCCCAGGTGACATGTGCCTTTTGAGAGCCATCCTGATTAATCCTAAAGGATTTCCAATTCACGAGAACTTCCCCAGCCCTAGTCTGTAAACCAGGGAGTGAGCTGCTCAGACGATCATTCATCTTACACCTCTGCAAGTAACTCAACATCCCAGCCAAGCAAAGAGCCATTAGCAGGGGATGGTGGGAATTCCAGATGCTGTTGTAGAGCCAAGAGAGGTCCCCCTAGCAAAATTTGCCTAGAGAAAGCCACCAGAGTGTGTAAGCAGCCTAACAAGCAGGTTCTTCCTCATTGATCTGGGGCTCTGTGGATCCATCTCGGGAAATACTTAGGCACTGCCTTAATTTACTTCCCAACCAGAGTTCCTCTCGGAGGGAGGCTGAGCTGGTGAGTATGGAAGCCAGACTGATAATTCAGTGGAAATCCATGCATGTAATTGGGAGAACAAGATGAGATGAGAACAAGTGCATGGAAAATTGGGGGTCTTTGGATAGGCAAGGGGGAAGAGAGGGAGAGAAAGGACCCTGCTCTCCGCTTTCAGGCCAGTGGACTAAAGCAAGCTAGGCCCAATTACAGAGACTTTCCAACTTTTGCTGCAAAAAACAAAAATGGTTTTCCTGGCTCCACAGGTTCTCTTGAGATGGCAAAGGACCTTCCCAGGTTATAAGAGGAGCCAGTCACGCAGCTCTGGGTGAGACTGGTTTCTTCCCCACTCTGGGTCTCTCTCCTTGGATCTTCTAAAGCAGCCATCCTCTGAGAGCACTGTCTTAGGAGTCAGGCATGTGAGGCTGAATCTGTCTGCTCTTTCACCAGCCATATGAGCTGCGCCAAGTTACTAAATCTCTTGGAGCTGATCAGCAAAATGGGGATATTATGTCCTCCAGAAGGGCAATTGTGAAGATAAAATGACCAGCAGATGTGAAGGCTTCTCAAGCAGTGCCTGGTTGGTAAATGCACTCAAGACAGAAGAGCTGTCATTTTTTTCCACTCCAAATGCAGCTTGTGGCTGCTTGGACAAGCTCCTTAACAGTGTACTGGCAGCGGCTCCCATCCTGTGGATGTGGTCAGGCTGGGGGCGCCCTGGCCACCTCTCCTCTCCCAGGACCTTGCCTAGCACTGTCCACTCTTGATCTGGGCAGCAGGACTGTCTATCAGAAGGGAAGCTGCTTCAGAGCCTCACCCCCTTGGGCACTATCGGTAGCCCTACTGATGGGGACCTGGGCGCATTCCACGTGGGACTCACCAGGAATGGCTGGGAGTTCCTGGAAATCAACCTGCCTTCTCAGGAGAAACCATACAATACGGGGAATGAAAACCAGATACAAGCAATAGGGTTTGGTTTTGCTTTTTTAAAGCAGAACATCCTACCTGACTTGGTGGACCAACATACCTGCCCACCTTCCAGGGACCACAGAACTTCCTGCCCTCTCCTAGTGACCCAACCTCATGGCTGATCTACTCATTCCTGAGGGCCCTTCCAGCTGTGCACTTCCCCGAATCACTTGAGCCTCAGCCCTACCGAGCACCCTTGGGCCCAAGTGCCCTCAGTCACTTCTCCTGAGTTACAAATGCCATCCTTGGGGCAGGAACTTCCGTGTTACTGAGTCTGAAGTAGACAGAAAGGACAGGATGGACTTGCAGATGACCCCCGGTCTGGGAATAGACCTAGAAAGACTGAATGGGGCTCCCCCCTCTGAGACCTGGTACCCCAATTCTCCACCCAGATCTTAACCTGGAAGGGGCTAGCTGAGACATGGGCCATGGTGTCCAGCCACGTGTCCCACGCCCCCACCCCCCAGGGAAGAGCCCCAGGAGTGGGGTGTCCACTCCAGGGTGCTCTGAAATGGGAGCTCCCGAAGACCCAGGCAGGCTGCTCCTTGCCACTGCCCGCCCAGGAGACCTGCGCGCCTGAGCCCCCTCCCCAGCCAGCATCGCCCGCAACAGCCGCATCACCACCAGTCCGATTCCCAGCGCAGAAAACCTCCCGCCCCTGCCGCAAACCCACCTTCCAGGGTGCTCAGAGGCTCCTTCCCGGGGTGTCACCAAGGTCCCCGCCTCCTCCACAGGACACGAGCTCCCCGTTCCGCAGCTTCTAGCCCCGGCCTCGGGGTCTAAGCCGGCTGCTGCCTCCTCTCTCGTGCTCCCGTGAATTCTCAGCACTATTCTTTTTTTAAGGGACTTTTTTTTTTTTTTTTTTTGCGTTGCGTCAGGACGGTTGCCTGGCGACAGCAGAGCTATTCCGCCGCCAGCCCTTTCAGCCGCGAACCCCTCCAGCCTCTCATTCATGCCTCTCCTCCCGCGGCTCCGGGACCTGGACTCGCCGGTCCGGCAGACGCGCTCCGGGTCCTAACGCCCGGCTAGTTGCATGTTCCCGGACCCCGATCCCAGCGGCCGCCCAGCCACACGCATTTGCCAAACCCTAGACTAAACCGAACCCAAGTATCTTTTTCCTTTTAAATGCGAAACCAAAGCAGTTTCCCCATAAACATGGCAACGTGGCTTTGCCACTGTCAGCAATTTGCTTACGTGGAGGGGGCAGAAGAACCCTCTTCAGGCGTCGCCAAACCCAGAGCTTACACTCCACACCCACAAGTGGCTTGACTTCAGACTACCAGCAGCAACTCCCATTACCCAGTGCCTAAAGTGTGTCCCACTGTCAGAGCGACTCAGCTGGCACAGGGGGTCGTCTCCAGGTTACAGATGAGGAAACTGAGACTCAGAGTGGCTAAGGAGAAACCAGAAGTGAAGCAGAAAGCAGATGTTCTTCCGGCTCTGTCTCCCAGACCAGCTGGGAGTAGTTGGAGGGACCTGCCCCAAAGCATGTGTTTCTCCCACAAACCACGAGGGTGCCTCATGGCATAAAATACTATGTGCTCTGTCAACCACTAGAGATGGTTACAGTCTAAATCTAGCTGCTGCTCCACCAGAGCCTAGAGCTCCAGGCGCCTAAGACACACACAGGACAGCAGCCAGGGCTGCCCCATCTTGGCCTTTAGAATCAATCCTGACTGCAGACACGGGTCTCCAGTCCAGCTCCCTGGGCTCCACCTTCTCCCTGGACCCCAGGTCCCAGGGTGGATTACTGGAAGTTGGCCTCATTCTCAGGGCAGCCTGAGACATGGTCAAGTGCCTTTCCTAGATGCTTTGGGTTGGCAGGTCCCTCAAAGTTATCCAATCTGCCATGCTCACAGTAGCACTGGGTGTGCAGCACAGGTGTCCTTACCTCCACGGACAGAAGCACACGCTTGAACAAGAAGCTGCAAAGTGACTTGACCCCAGGCTCAGTAGGAAGTGGCTAATCTTATTTTCTGTAGGGACTGGGTACCAAGATTCTTGTGCTGCCCCCTGGCGCCTGTGTCCTTCACTTCATCTGCCCATGCAGCCCTTCACCCACTTCCTTCTTTGCCCCCTTCACTAGCACCTCTGGTAATGGACTTAGTGTAAAGAGACATCCTGCTAATGTGGGCACCTCTTCACGCTAACACGTTAATGCTTCTCGGCTAGCAAGTGTACTTAAACAGGGGTCTTTGGGGGAGTCACAGTATTCACTCAACCTCTTGATTCCAGCTCCTAAATATCGACCCCATCCTCCCCTTCTTCCATCCCTTCTGCCTCTGCCCAGGCCCAAGTCACCATCGGGTTGGCCCACCTCCAGCAACAGCCTCTTGTGGATGCCCAGCACCCACTCTTGGCTCCCCACCTGCCTCCCCCTGAGCCGGTTACTCCTTCAGCCAGAGCAAACTCTTCAAAATGGAAATCCAGTCCTGGCTTGTCGGCACATAAAGCCCTCTACCAGCTCCCATTCTTCCCAGGATTAAACCCCGGGTGTGGCTGACCGGGCCTACATGGTCCAGCTCTGTCCACCTCTTGGGCCTCGCCTTGTGCTGATGCTCAGCTTTCCAGACAGACGCTCTTCCAGGGCCTTTTATACACCTGCTCCTCCTCAGGGCTGGCTGCACTTTTGCCTCCTGAGAGGACCCAGGTTACATGTCCTTGCAGCCTCACCTCCCTCTCCCTCACGAACCAGCTGTTGTTTTATCTTTATTTGCGTGGTCACTTGATTAGTATAGATCCTTCCAGGGGCTGTAGACTCTGGATGGCAGGAACCATGTTTGCAGGTTGAACGCTCTGTCCAGACTTGGGGACTGGGCATCCTCCTGTAAAATGTAAAAAAAAGAGCATTTTACATTTCTTTCATAGACTTGCATTAATTCCCTATGCTTTCTACAATGAATAGTTTCTGTAACTAGCAACTTAAAGAAACACTACCACAAAGAAAAGATGGCCCCATGGTTGGGGTGCCTGGTATCTCCTGCTTTGTATGGAGCTGCCTTTTATGTATGCGTCTGGGTAGGACCCCAGTGATGGGTGGGGGGATCCCCATGACCCAGAGCAGCAAGGCCACCTGGGGACTCTTCCGCTCGAGTTGGCCGTTTGGACCAGGGGACACTAGGCCAAGCCTGTGAGTCTGGACTTGGCAACAACACACTGACTTTAGAGCCGCCTTTTAAATCAGTCCTGGTCAAACTGATCCACTTTGACTTTTAAGACATAAGATCAAATGTTGTGTGCGATGGCCGACCCGGGGGTCTGGACCTCCTTAGTGAGTGCATGTCTCTGCAGGCAGCCCCCTCACTGTTGTTAGCACAGCACTTTACAGGTTACAGAGTGGTTTCCCTTCCAGAGGTCCCAAGATGAGTGAGACATCGTCTGTTTTGGACCTATAGAAATCCTGTGAAATAAGGGAGTCAAGAAACATTTTCCCTTTCTTACCTACGAGGACTCCAAGCTTGGGGGGACTCGGGGGCTTACTCAAAGTCACACACCTGGTAGTGGCAGGGTGCTGGGACTGTCCAACTCTGAGTCTAAGGCACTTGAGACTGGACCACGCTGACCCTGCTGTCCCTCCAAGCAATGGGCAGGGCAGCCTCAGTAACCACAGTGGTCTTGACCCCAGCATGGTGGGCAGAGATGGCCTGATTAATAAGGTGACATTTGAGCAAAGACTTGAAGATGTGGGAGTTGGTCATGAGGTATCTGGGGGAAGGGTGTCCTAGGCAGAGGGAACAGCCAGTGCAAAACACACCTGCCACAATCAAGGGAGAGTGAGGGGCCTCGCTGGGGTGCAGTGAGCAGGGGAGCGAGGAGAACTATGGGAGATGATGCCAGAGGTGACAGGGTGGGTGCCAGGGCACATCCCACACACCCAGGAGACCGTTGTAAGGATTCGTCTTTCCCCCGAAGGAGCACAGAGAAGGCACCACAGCTGAGTGGGGTCTCTGCCTTCTTGGCACACCCACAGCACAAAACACTCTCTAAATTAGTCTTACCTGTTCCCACTGGAGTCTTTACCTTACTCAAGGGCAAACGCCACTGTCTAAGGCTCCTGGGTATCCTCCATGGTGATTCAAATGTGGACCTATTGATTGAATGAGAGAAGAAAGGAACAAATTTCTGTTTGGCTCCGTTGTATGGAGGACAGGAAGATGGTCCCCCCTCCCCTGCTCCAGGAAGCAATTACAGCTCACAGTCCTGGGCCGGAGTTCACTAGCTTCTACCCTCTGCCTTCTAGAGGGATTTTTCTATCCGGGGGACCAGCATTTCAAGAGGATCCACAAAATGTTTGTCATTTAGTATCGATGCTGATATCAGGAATGGCTTTCCTTTGCCCTTATTATCACAGGGGTGGGAGTCAGGTGGAGGTACTGAATCATAGGAGATTCCCATTGTATAGGGAGCCCATTAGTTCAATGAGCAGTGTGCGTGGCTTGCCCTGTGCTACCTGATGCTAGGCATGGGGACACTGTACCTACAGCTTATCAGAGTAGGAAAGATAATGTAAGAAGCAGCCACCTTAGAACTGGAGGTGGGGAGGGGCAGCTGCCATCTGAGCCCAGATGCGGAAGATGAGTGGGAGCTGGCTAGGAGAGTGGTGGGGAGGCCTGAGGTACATACATCGTGGCAAGAGAAGAAATAGCATTTGCAACGGCATGTTGAAGACAGAGAGGGATTCAGTGTGTCTGAGGAGAAGAGTGTGAGAGAGTGTGATGGGCCAAGGTAAGGTCTGTGGACATGACCCTGAAGGTGAAGGGTTAAGAAGGGAGCCTGCCAGGGCTTTTATAACTCAGAGAATCTGGGGGCACAAGGCAGTAGGCAAGGAGACCAATCAAGAGAATGTATCCATTCCACCAGTGGTGGGAGGCAAGGGAAGTCCGGACCCATAGCAAGACATGGCTCACGGCATGTCCCAGCTGCCGGCGGTCAGTGGGAAAAGCAGCACTGGGAAGGGGAGCAGCAGGGGATTCACGGGCAGACAGACCTAGGTCTGAGTCCTGACTCTTCCGGTTACTGGTGTGTGCCTGTGAGAAGTAACTCAAGTTTTCTGAGCTGCAGCGACTTCATCTATAAAATAGAAATAATTTTAATAATACTGTTCATATACAAGAGAGAACCCCTCAAGAAAGGAAATTATCTTCTGGAGGGTGGGCCTCCTATAGTACAGGCTTCCCCCACTATGTGAGTGTTCTAGGAACCCATCTGTATCAGTGTACCAGCTGGCATTGTTGTGAGAGGCTGCGTCAGCTTCAGCGAATTTTTTTTAAGACCCTTTCAATGTGTTTGCCCATCGTGATGGGTGATACATGAGTGCCTCTGCTATACCACACTGAGTGTTTAGCAGTTTTTGACCAACAAACAGCATGACATGCCTGCTCTCCCTATTTGCCAATCTCACCCTAAGTGACTTCATTTTTGTTTTCCAGGATGAAAAAAGTCCTCAAAGGAGAACGTTTTGCTGATGTGGCTTGAGGTGAAACAAAAATCGGCAGAAGCACTAAAAGGCATAAAAATCAATGAGTTCAAAAACTGTTTAGAGCAGTGGAAAAAAGGTCTCGACAGGTGTTTACATCAAATGGAGAGTACTTCGAAGGTGATTGAAGTTTAAACATGTACAAGTAAGTACAGTTTTTTATCAATGAATTCCTTTTGGGGGGCTCCTCCCCTCATACATAGGTAAAGAGACCTGCCTTGGACCCTATGCTTCAGAAAGCCCAGCTCTGGGCTTATTAAGGGAGGGTGGCTGTGGGGCCGGGGGACCTGTCCACCCACAGCTACATCCTTCTCTTCTACTCCAGGCTCCAACAATCAGGACTCAGAAATTTTTTGGCCAAATGGCCCACATTCAGGCCCATACTGGCCTCTTTCCTGATCTGTGGAGGGTGGGGTAAAGGTTGGACTCTCGGTCTAGGGTGGTCCTGCCTCAGCACAAGGGTCCTCAGGTGGGAATAGAAAGAAGGAGGGCCACTGTTAGGGCTGAGGCCTCACATCCCCCACCCTGCATGGGCCAGGGTCCAAGGATGCAGATTTATAACCTGCCTTTGAGGTTGTTATAAAGGTTATGTGTTAAGGCAAAAGGAAAGAACCAACATTGTCTAACAGTTTGTCAGCTTGGTTTACAACACTCAAATATTTAGACACGTGGCCTGTGGGCCTCCGTGTGTTCATTTGCTTAGACCTGTCCAGTGTTAGGGGTGGGCCTGATTCTGGGCCTGCCTGGCTGGTTTGTTTAAGAGGCAAAGACACTCCGTGCTGCACACAGACACGAGCCGTTGTCATTGGAATCACTCTCCTCTTCATCGTGGCATCTCGGCACCTGCTGCAGTTTGCTCTCGTATCTTGTGGATGCCTGTGGGAATCGTCATCCAGACCAGAATGTCCAGGTCCAGACCCACCCCATCCCTGTGACCACCGGAAGGAGGTCTCCTAGGGCATGTACGTGTGAAGGAAGTCGGAAATGATGCCACTAATGACTGCAGTGGCGCAGTCCTGATGGGTGAGGCAGAGGCTTCTAGGTTGTTCTAAGCACCATCTCACCCAAGGAGCCAGGCTCCTCTGAACGATGGGAAGAGCCCTGGGTAGGACACGGGAGACCCAGGTTCTAGACCAGGCTCTGTTACTAATTAGACCTTCATTGAATCACTTTCCCTGTTGGATGGTTTTCTCATCGCTGACACAAGGAAGTCAAGCTCTGGCATCTTCTGATCCACGATTCCGTGATACTGCCCCCCACCCCCACCCCACTGAATAGAATCTTTCATTCTGGGCAGTGGCAGAAGGCAGGGCAGGAAACTGCAAAGTGGGAGGGTCTGGAAGATACTGAATCTCTGGGGTAGCAAGAGGTCAAGGCCAGCTGGACAGAGTGAGTCTGGTGAGCTTGTCACAAGGCTGGGATGAGAAGGTGCAAGTGAGACGCTTGGAACAAGGCTGTACCCCCTATCCTTGGGGAGAGTCTGCTTATTCTCTGCCCTGCTTTAACTTTAGTGAGTGGTGGGGGTGGAAGGGGAGGTGGTCCTAGACTTGAAAGTAGGAGGAGGAAGTCTAGGGCCTCCAACAGAACTCTGCTAGTGATGGAAGCAAACCCAGAGAAGCCCATTGCTTCACAAACTCAACAGTGCTCCTAGTGGCTGAGCCAACAGCTGCTGCTAACGAGTTTATTCTTTTCATTTCGACCAGCCAATCTGGGATGATACTTTAGGGTGTCAAGAGGGGAAATTGTCACAAACAGGAATGAAGTTGAACTTAATTATTCTATCACTAAGGAACCTAAACCATAATCATGGGCTTTAGGGGCGGGATCAAGGCTAAGTCACAGAAGATAACGAGCGCTTGTCATTCATCCCACAGAGCACTGGGAAAAGATTCTAGGGGAAGCTGGTCTGCAGATCCTTGTATTCAGCCCCTTTCTAGGAACTCTACTGCAAGTACGCAACTCCCTAACTGGAAGCAGAATCTTCCTTATACTTAGCTGCTCTCCTAAAATCAACTCAACCCGACCTCCACTGATGTTAAAAACAAATGGGATACACACTTTCTCCCCCATCCCATCCTGATCAATGATCAAGGTGGGGAGGAAATACCAGTAACTTGAACAACACGAGGGTCAGGGGCACTGGCTCTCCTCTCAGTCAAAAACCTGAGTGTGACTTTTGATTCATCCAAAACTTAATGTTAATATCCTGCTGTTGACTGGAAGCCTTACTGATAACGAACAGTTGATTAATGCATGTTTTGTATGTTTGTGTATTATACACTGTATTCTTACAATAAAATGAGCTTAAAGAAAAGAAAATCATAAGGAGGATAAAATACATTTACAGTATTTATTGGGAAAAAAACCCACCTATAAGTGCACCCGTGCAGTTCAAACTCGTTCAAAGGTCAACTGTGTTCTTACACTACACAGTTCAGGTTTCTGAAAGTTTGGGTCTGTCCCTGGCTCTGTCCTTGTTATGAGGCTTGTTTGGGCAAATATCTAACCCTCCTGAGTGTCAGTTTTCTCACCCACACACCTACCACTCTGCATTGTTGTGAGGATTAGAATGAATGCCTACATAATGCCTGAAATAATGTTTGGCACCGAGCAGGCACCGATAAATGTTTCTTATCGTGTCTGTGAGCCAACTGAGTCTTCGATTGTGCACCACCCGAAACGGAGCGTGCCTGTACCTCATTCTAGTCTAATGCATGGTGTGAGAAGATATTAAGCAATCAAGCTGGCAGGATTTCCAAAGATCTCAGCTGCCTTATTTGTCTTCTTTGAACATGAGGTAGCTCTGCTGGGAATCTGACACCGGGAAAACAGGATGGAGCACGGAGCAGACAAACATGCCCCGTGGCTCGGCCACAGGTTTCAGGCACAGACTCAGGGCACGTCCCAGCAGGGATGCAGCCAGCCACTTCGGCAGGGTCGGCTACCATTCAACTGACTAACATCTTATGACTATGACTGTTTCTGGTTCACAGAGAGAACTGGCAGCAGACAGGGAGAGAAAAATAAATACAGGCACACAGAGGGACCTGTCGAATGCACTCTGGGATGAGAGAAACCAAGGGGCAGACAACAGAGTGATGAATGCACAGCGAAATTGCGTCGGCAGGACCCCCGATGAATCACTTTCGGGTTAATGTTTCCTGATCAGGTCAACGTGTTTAGCAAGCAGCATCCCCTTGTTACAAATGGTAGTTGGGGGTGATGCCATAGGCTCATGAGAAGGAAAGAGAGAGGGAGGGAGAGGGAGGGAGGAGGGAGGAAGAAAGTGAGGGGAGAAGAAGGAGGAGTAGAAGGAGGAGAGAAAGAAAAGAGAAGGGAAGAAAATTGTTCACAATGGGTGCTATGGTTTGAATGTGTCCCCCCCAAATTCATATCTTGAAATCCTCACCCCCACAGGGTGCTCTTAGGAGGCAAGGCCTTTGGGAGTTGATTAGGTCTTGAGACTGAAGCCCACATGAGTGGAATCAGTGTCCTTATAAAGAGCTCCCGTACAGCCCCCTCTCCCCTTCTGCCACGTGAGGGCACATGGAGTAGGCACCAGCTATGAACCGGGAAGCAGGCTCCAACCAGACACAAAGTCTGCTGGTGCC